CAATTTCTTACAATTTTGCTCTTATTTGAATAACTATAAAATTAATATATTTTCATTATTTTGAAATCTAGAACCTTATAATCGTCATTAATATTCAACTCTTTAAGTGTTTCTTTAACGAAATGATGGCAAATCGCGCCTCAAGAGGATGGAAAAAACTTGTCACTGCAAGTATGTATTTTTTTGGGGTTTTTATTTTATATATGCATATGTATATAAATTGCTGGATTGGAAGAAAATTTTTAAAAAAAAGTAAACAAAAAAAAAGAGAGAGAAGGCTTGTGCCTTCACTAGGCGGACGACCGGTGGCGCCACGCTTAATGGCTGTGGGAAGCCTAACGATGACTCGCAGTGAGAGCGCGCGGCTAATCGGCCGCCCACGTTAACGAGGTGGGCGGCTGGTTGCCAGCACGCTCTCACTGCGTGACTCACCGTTGGGCTTCCTGCAGCCGATTGGCGCGGCGCTGACGGTTGTCTACCCAGTGAGGGTTCAACCCCTCTCTCCTCTTTTATTTATCTATTTTTTAAAAATTTTTTGATGTAACTATTTATTTTATCTTCACTCTTTTTTAATTAGATGTTATATAATTATTTATTTTATTCATGCAGTGAATTATATTTTTTAATCACTTTATGTATTGTGTAATAATTATTAATTAATAATATAATTGTTTTAGTTAAGGTAATGTTAATTTCGGTCAAGTTAAATATTAATTTATTTAGTTAAAGCTATTTTTTTAAATTTTTCTTAGGTAAAGCTAATTTATTTATTATTTATTAGGTAAAGCTAAAATTATTTAGTTTGTTTTGAGCAACTTTGCAGCTGTGTAATAGTAGTCTTGCATTATTTACAAATTCATCGCAGCATACACGATATATAGTTGTACATATAATTTTTCTTGTTTGTTTTATCTAATTATTTAAGTAAAATATAGTATAAAATTATACAAGTTAATTTCAATAATTATTGAGTTTAATAATAATTCCGCTAATGTTTTTCATTAGGTTTTTTTTTAATTTAGTGTAATTTTACGATACATGAAATTTTGTATATCTATTCAATAATTTTACTTCTTTCGTTATCATAGTTTTGCGGGGGTGCCGTAAAATCTATCCCGGCACATATTCTCCGAGGTGAAGGCTCACATTCTCAATCTGACTTGTAAGAAGAAGTTATAACTCGGGTTCAGAAACGAGGAACAGGTTATCGCTTTTCAAGCAGTGGGTCATGAGGTAAAAAGTTAACATAAATGATTTAATTGAGTTTTTATAATTAATTGTTGATGATGAGGAGGAGTTTTATTATTAGTATATAAATTAGTTTCATTGAAAATAAATGTATATTATTGTGCAACATCATTATAGGGGGTAAAACAAGCGTTTGAAGGCTAACGAAAGTTATGATGAACCCTTGATAGTTAGTGCTCTGGTATCTGGTGGGCCATCTGATTCTACTGTCAGTCCCAGTTTTCTTAAGCATAGAGCCTCTCAAATCTAGAAAGGCAACCACAGAGGCCTCCTCCGGATACAAACCAGAAGTACAGTTTGTGACAAGTTGAGAGATTGGTACAATGGGCATATGTCGCCTGATGCAAAAGTTTTAGTTGAAGGGACAGGTATCGCACCTTCAGGATATCATGTTTGAACACATAGATGTTCCAATGATATGTGCGTTCGTGGAAAGGTGGCAGCCGGATACTAACTCCTTCCACTTGCCATTTGGAGAGATGACCATCATGTTGCATGATGTTTGGCATATTCTGCGCATTCCGATGGACGGAGATATGATTACTGCAGAACCTACTACAGAAGAGTTACTTGCACTCAATATGGATATATTGGAGGCATATGCCGATAATATTAAAATTGACTATGATGGTGGTGGAATTTTAAATGAATTGATTTTGAAATTGGATTGAAAGAATAGGACGCCGGAGGGTGAGGCCAATGTGGTTAGGATTGCTATTAGGTTCAACTTTGTTTGTTGACAAGACTGTGAATAGGTTTAGACCGGCATGCGTGCATGAGCTGATGGACAACTTCGAACGTACTCAGAGCTACTCATGGGGATCGGCTACGTTAACGTATCTTTACCGAACCCTAGGGATTGCTAGTAGAGGAGATTCGGCGGGTCTTACTGGTTGCATGACATTATTGCATGCATGGATATATGAGCACTTTCCGGAATTTTGACCTCATCTCGTCCCAAATATTTTGAGTCCCAACGTGGCTCGAGCGACGGCCTAGAGTGTCAACATTCCAGCTTCTGGAAAAGAAGCCCAATTGGAACGCCTACATACATTGCGTTGCCATCTTGACCGGCTCACCGCATATGAGGGAAATCATTATATTTTACAATAATTTAAAATAATTATAAAATAACTAATGTATGTATATGTGTAGGTGACATGGTTGCCCTATCCCCTATGGCACCGATCAGGCTAATGCTATGCAAAGGATCGTCTTCACAGGTTGGGTGGGGCACCGAAAAATCGTTGAGCCGTACATGCCTCAACGAGTATAACATCAGCTCGGATTTGTGTAGTGCTTCCCGACTCGCATCACCAGACCTTCAAAGTTGAACAGCCATTATCTTCCAGAAAATACAAGGTTGAGCATCCTCAGAACACTACAGAAGACGGCAGGATCAGCTTCCCAGAGTTAAACATCTTTGCTCTAGCCAGGTACGAAGCCGCTGTTAATGATCCTGCAGCATGTGCTGAGGGGTACATGGAGTGGTACTACAATCATTCGCATCCCCTACTTCTGCATATGAACCAGTGGTAGGTTCAGAGCAATTCTACAGAATCCGGATGTGCGAGAAAAATATGAGTCAACAGTTTTGTATCTGGGTCATCACGCATCCGAATGAAATAGTTGTGCTCCTCCGCTAAATGAATACACTGTCCCACGACATCTCTTCCTTCCATATCTTCCCTCCGCATCTGATCTCTACAATCGTACACTTGTTTTTTATAGCATTATCTTCAGGATGTTCTTCTTGAATTGCAGGCAAAATAGCAAACGGCTTAGCTTGAGCATTTGTCATTCGCCACACAAGCTTCTTCGATGCTGCACTAAGTTTGCTGATTTGTCGATGCCCCTCAGCATACACAATCATAGAATGGTTGCACATACCCTTATTTATACTATCTGCTACACGGATTCCCCAACTTCTAGGCCCTCCCAATTGTCTTGCTGTTATCTGGAATTTACAATTGCAGAATTTAGTCTTTGTATTTTGCCGCATGCCGGTTCTCCAATCTTTACGAACCATCTTGCATCGTCTACCACGGCTACATTGCAAGAACCTCACACGTCCACCCTGTTTGTGCGTAGAAATAATTAACTCGAACCCAAGTTTAATTGCCATTAATTTGGCCCAAGAAATTACTTTTTCACATGACTCAAATATACTTGTAGCGACAAAATGTCCACTACAATCAATACCATCACCACCATGATCTTCACTCGAATCCTACATAGTTTATATAAAAATTCATATGTAAAAGTATATTTTTCATAACAATAAACAACATCACAAATACTACTAAACAACATCACTAATTAACTAACAAGTAATAAATATCTCCAGTTAATAAAAATAAAAGCAACACTAAGAAATTAATAAATATTCAAAATGTAATTGATAAAATAAACCAAACACCTGTAGAGAATAGTATCTAAACTTATAAAAATAATTTTAGAAACCAAACAATTAATAACAATATTTAGAGAAGAATAATAGAGTTACCACACTTAAAAAAAAAAAGAAGAAAAAAAAAATGAACCAAGCATCTAGTTCATGGTGCACCTGACGGGATGCACACGTGCATTACACGTGTGGCCATTGGAACGGATGCTCAGAGCAAGCATGCAACGCACGGTATGCATGCGTGCATTATGCGGGTGGCCGTTAGAACAGGTGCTCGAATCAAGCGTGCACCCGACGGCCCGTTGGAATGGGTGCTCGGAGCAAGCGTCCAACCGACTACTGCACGCGTTCATGAGGCGTGCGGCAGTCGGTTTGGGTGCCCGGCTCACGCATGCATCTGGCAGTCAATCTCAATAATATCAACAAGAACATATTTTTTCCAAAAAAATTAACATAAAACTAATTAAAGCATACCATTTCAGATGTTTATGCTCCGTTCTTGCACAAATTTGGTGCTAACACGGATTTCAATTGTCGTCTAATTGCTTCAAACATTTGCTTGAATAAAAAGACTAAATGTCAAAGCTTATGAAATGTTAAAATGATTATTCTTTTATTAACAATAAAGAAAAGGGTAAAATAGTCATCAAGTGAGTTTTCTTAAGGATTAAATGAGCTACATTTAGTCCCTCACTACATATAATGAAAAAAAAAATCAGGCTCAATTCATTTCCCAATTGTGGATTATCAAGAATATAAATCTGCGAACACAAGAACATAGTATTTTTTATAGGAAAAAAATATGGATTCAAATGGATTCAATATTCACTTAGTTCATATTAGTTCCTTTAATTAGTTCCTTTAGTCCCTTTAATTCAATTAGTTCATACACGTATTTTTTTTTATAGAAAAAAAATACAATTAATAACAATTCTCATTAGATTGTCTGGTATTTAAATGGATTCAATATTCACTGAAAATAAACATTTATTTCTCTTGCAAATGAAATCTTTTCTTTATACATTTCTCGTTTCAGTCATCAAGAGCAAAATAAAATTGAAAAAAAAACTTGACAAATACATATTGCAATTCTCATCAATTCACTCGTTAAGCACACAAACACCAACAAATTAAAGCCATCATCAACTTAAAATACCAACAAACGAACATTACAACGTTCATTCAAACATCTTCGACAAATTCAACAAGGAAAAAAAAAGAAATTCTAACTCAACTTGAAATTGTAAACCTAGCCACTTTCTTCAGTTTCCACTCGATAATAGCTGTCGTCGGGATCGCAATAGTCCTCTTCGCTCAAAGATTCTTTTCCCAAGAAAACGATTCCTTAATTTTTATCCTCGTCCTCTTTCTCTTCTAAATTTCCTCCATCTCCATCATTCCCTTCCCCGTGATTCATTTCATTGCCATTGCGTTCGTCATTCTTTTGTTCTCCGGAACAGTTGGCTTCATCACCTTTCACTTCATAAGCTGAACCATCACCGACATGAACTACAATGGCTTTATCATTCGTCTCTTCCCCATTGTTCACTTCTCTTGTAGCTTCTTCAGTTCGTTGTGAAAACGAAACCCCCAAACGGGGAGCAATCAGTGAGGCCGCAAGGTATTGGTCTTCCCAGGACCTATCAATGGAGTCTAACAGGGCCCTTTCATCTCCTTGAGCCTTGAAAAACTTAAAGCCGGGATCTGAACAACCCTGGCATTTGTAATTATGAGCTGAAGCGCCTCGAACACAGTTCATGTGGGCTAGAGCTTGACAGCTAAAACAGCTCACCAAATCAGGATTTAGGAAGCTCAAATCATGGTCTTCGTATACCGAAAAGCAAATCGGACAAAAGAGTCCGGGTGAGGCTGAAAGTACACAGTCTGTACAGACTGGTAGGGTTGTGCTTTGGAAGTAAACATGGTGGATATAAAAATGGTTTTCCAAGCAGCTGAGGCATTGAATCTGGTTTGAAGCCATGATTCAGAATGGTTTTCAATTTCGAAAGAAAAAGAAAAAAAAAAAAAGGGAATGGAAGGTTTGAATCGAGAGGAAAAAGGGATTTTGCATGCTATTTATAGGCAAAAAAACAAAATCTGGATTTTTCTTATAAAGGAAAAATATTGACTACCATAAATGGATTAAATGTGTTTCTCTCTATAAGCTGATGAACGTGAATGTGTTTTAATGAATACAGAATTAGAGACTTCAGTAACTATCTTATTTTGCTGGAGAAACAAGTACTGGAACACTGAAAATTCAATTCAATTCAAAATATGACCTTTTCGGGACGATTACTTACTATTTTCAACCTCATTTTGTTAATATCAATTTGATTTTTTTTCCTTAAATTTGAGAGTCATCATCCCTTGACTCCATATAATTCCTACGCTTTGAAATGTTTCTTATGTATGGAGTGATGTATCTATTATACAGTAATTGTTTTTATTTTGGAAATTAAACAATCTACTTAGAATACAACCGGTTCAACGCATTTGACTCAATTATAACATCAAATACTTTCCACGGCCAAAAATAGGAAAAAAAATTTCTTATACATGTTCTTAAAAGTCAATCTTTTGTGATCCGCATGCATACACAAGCATTAACTAAAACGAGTTTGCTCATATTTGTACTACATATTTTTAACTAAATGAATATTGATAAATTATTAAAAGGTAGAAAACATCAAAATGTACAAAATTTGAGATTGTTGGAAGATATTTACAAGAGGTTCTACGAAAAAAAAGGAAAGAAAAAGAAGGTACATAGTTAGGGTAAACTCTTATGACAAAAATTAATCCTAGTCAAAGGGAGAGGAAAAGAAGGTGAGGGAAGGCTAGGGCCAGGGGGTTTCTTAGAAGATATTGAGAGCTCTATACCTCAAATTAGTTGTAGTCTTGAATCAGCCTAATCAGCATTTCACAAAATTTTTGTTTTCGTTATTTTCTTTTAATGTTGTTTACAAGTCATTAGAGATGTATAAGAAGTAACAAATCCTTTATATTGTCCCTGTCTAATGAACATTCTGAAGAGAGTATTCCTATCAATCCAATTAATGACTTGCAAAGAGTAGTTCTTATTGTTTTGCTGAGCTCCAACATCAATATGAGATGAACTTTGTTCCCCTCCCCCAAAGGCAGAACTTGACACACATGTTGATGGTTTATTTCATCCTTAAGATGGTTTGTACGTCCTATTATAAAATCACTTACCAAGGATGGCCTTCTATATGTATATCAACATTGATAAAATTTCCAGAATAAGATTGCAAGTCTAGGTCAATGAAATTAGAGGGATCATATGTAACACGTTCATCATTGCACATGTTATAATGTCTAGTTTTGAAACTACATAGAGAGCATATATACGGCTTCTCGAATAGTGAGGCATATAACTAGAGAAATCTAACCCCTTTTTTCTTTCTCGCAAACATCAAGTCTAGGTCAATGAAATTAGAGGGATCTTATGTATCACGTTCATCATTGCACATGTTATAATGTCTAGTTTTGAAACTAAATACAGGCATGTATACGGCTTCTTGAATAGTGACGCAGATAATTAGAGAAATCTAAGCCCTTTTTTCTTTCTCGCAAACATCAATTCTGAGGTAGAACCTATGAGACGCTTCAATCCACTTTGCATAGCAGAATCTAGATTCGACTCAATATTAAACTCCTCAAAAGAAGTTGACATCCTAGAGATTATTTACATCTATAGCATCTATATTGAGGTTTTTTTTTTTTTATTATGAATATAGAATTAAACCGGCAGAATCTATAACATGTGTTCTACCATAGCAACGTAGACCTCAGTGAGGTTCCCATAGGGCCGACTTCCCAATATGTGGAATGTAGTTTTTTTAAGAAAAAAAAATACACGTCGAAGGTGTTTTTCTAAGCATCCATATTGGCATCATTTTAGTATCACTCAAGACTCAAGAGTGCTTAAAAATATTTGGACTGTGTATAGTTGATTTCTACTTAAAAATTGTTTCTTAGAAAATCTTTTTATGAGCGAGAGAACAACCATACGCCAGACAATAGTGTCTCTCTCTTTTTGTTTTTACAGTTTTCTTAGTCAACCATAGGGAAATCAAGATTAATGTTGAATTCATCTCTATTAATTCTAAAAAATAAGTTAAAGGCCATGAGCATCCAATCCATTAATTTATTGAGATGCATTTGTACGATCAAAACAGTCTATGCAATTTGTTCTAATGACATTATTTGGAATATAAGAAGACTTTTGACTACAATCCGCCATTGCCACTATTTATCTTTTTAACCTTACCTACTGACTCTCCTACTGACTCTTGAGGAGCAAAGCTTTTGGTCTCATCGATTATTTCCTATGAGTTATTCAAAAACAATGTACGACTAACTCATCAATTTGTTCATCTTTTGCAATAAAAAAATGTTTTAGATCCAACACATTAGCAGCAACACCCATGGTACATGCCCCAGAACATAGACACTCTTCAAATGATTTGTTCAGATTCGATTGTAAATCATGATTGTCAAGCAATTCAATGGTACTAATGAATTCACTAGTGATGATTGATGTGGACTTCTTCTCAATTTTTATTTTCCAAATTCCAATAAGCTACGCTTTTCTCATTGGAAACTCCACGATTATTCATGTTTTTGTAACATTGTTGATCATCAACAAGCCACCTATAAGAAAACAACAATTCTCCTGACAAAAAAGTGGGTACTTGGATTCTCACTTGAAGACTCGAATACTTATGCTCGACTTACTCATTGTACTATTTGATTAAGGAAAAAAAGAATAAATCTTAATCGAATTCGAAAGAAATACTAGGATCTCTTGACTGAATTTCAACTTACACAAATGTTAATGAATGGAGGATCTAATATATTGATTTGGTAAATTTTGGTCTGTAGGCATTCATTGATGAAGGGATGATTACGGCAAAAGAAATGAGTATTAAAGACATGCCAACTTTATATACTATTTTAATTTTTAATGGTATTATTTGGTTCTGGCTTATCTACTAAAAAGATTCTCAAGAGTGTTGTAACTTCAGAAGTAGGGCTCAATCTAGGTAGAATATTGTTAGGTTTAATATAGAGCCGAGAAGTATTTTATGGCTAGAAAAGTGTCATTACATTCCATTACGCGAATAAAACAATAATCAAAATCTTATTCATGCATGTTCAGTATTCAGTCTAAACAACATTAGCAACATAGCCTTTCTCGTTATATGTATAACTCGGAAACATTGTACGTGATCTAATTTGCTGTAATATGTATAACTCTGAAATGTTTTTCTTGTAATGAAATCAACCTTCTTACCAAAAAGAAAAACATGGCCTTTCTTGTTAACAACTAAGTTTAAGTACTTGGTTCTAGCATAACAATGAGATGGTCTATCCATAAGTATCGATATGAAGCCCCTTGTAGATTCTCATGTTTTCAAGAACTTGAAAACCCAAAGATATGAGATTTTTTCCCTCCATTATAAAGTTGTTTGTATATGCCACGTGTTTGATACTCATTCCAGAAACACGTTGTTTCATTAGATGAATGGCATTTTAATGATTTCCTTATAGTCTTTTGAATGTTAATTAGGCACAAGGGCAATTGAAGTAGAAGTCTTTGGTGAGTTCCACAACACATAAGTTTATTGTTTATGTTGTCGTTCTTAGAATAAGGCATCGTAGATAGAATGATTAATTATATTCTTTATTCTATGTTAATAATCGTGGATTTTCAAAGTTATTTTATGATGGTATACTTATTGACATCGAAGGCGTTACTCAACTCAAGTAGGCATTAGTCTGAGAGTGTAAGGTGTTAGTTAAGTAAGACTATCTCATAGTTACTATCTAATATAAGAAATGAAGAAAAAGAAAGAAACTGTATAAATAGTTGAAATATTAATGGACAACTTTGTCATCAAATTTCAAATTGAAAGTTGTTGGACTAGCTAGTGATCAAGTCTTGTTGCATGAGAAATTTCAATTAATTTTTTAGTGTAAGTACTCAAAAGTTACTATTTAAACTTAAGTACTAGTCCGGAATTAGAAGACTACCTTCGGAACATATTTAGTAAAGTGGGGTCATGCACTAAAACTCTTTGGTTACCTCTAGGGATTTTGGAAATTATTAGACTGAGTAATTGCAGTGGCGGAACCAGAACTCTCACAGTGGAGGATCAAAATAGAAAATCTATATCTACATTACCAACCTGTACATTTAGAGATTGATTTATCCTTATTATTTTTTTACTTAAATAAAAGGCACAGTAGGCAAAAAATAATGCCCAAGAAATATTCAAGGACCACCGTCGAATCGATCTCGTCCGTCGGATGGGGTTGATATGATGTCATTGACTTATTAGGGGTAAAACCGGGATTTCATAATTTATATCCTTCTAATAAATAATACAAAATCCGAATTTTTGTTTCCAAATTTTATTCCCCCTCGATTAAAAAATAGCACAGGTTTTAGGAAAAAATCCCCAGGCCAAGAAAACGACGTCGTCGTTCCTCCCTCCCTCCCCTCCCCCCCCCCCCCCCCCAACCTATAAATATTAACGATGGCTGCATAATCTCTTCTACTCCCGACTAGCGACAACTCCTTTTCAAACCACCACGCCCATTGAATCGGTCATTCAATCTCATACATAGTCTTAATTCTCATCGATTGAATCGCAATACCGATTAAACGAATCAAACTTGGAACCCGGATCCTCCGCCGCCCTCCAAGGTCTCCTCATTGTTTTCCACCATCCTTTGCAGACCCTAGCCGCCGGCGAACATGGTAGAAGCCAAAGATTGAGGTTCCGGTGTTAATTTTCCTACTCCGATCTCTTCAATTCTGAGGTAATTCATGCAGGTTGTTCATCTTCTCAACGGGTTCATATTGATTTTTTTAAACTAATTTTTTTATTAATGGGTTTCTGATTGTATATGATTCTTTTCCTGAGCTTGTGTTGATAAAAGTAATTCAAAAGATGATCTGAGTTATCTTTTCTTTTAGCAGTGAGAAGTGCCAGTGTGGTTTCGTGCTTGATCTTTTTGCCTAGAATTGATTTATGGGCCCTGGAGACATGCAGTCAACTGTGTGAGGAATGAGAATGTTCTCCAAGCAACACTACAACTGAAGAGTTTGCTGAGGGTTCAGAGTCTCAGATGGCTGAGAAAATAGTTACATATCTGTGGAACTCATTTGTTCATTTGTTGGAATTCATTATGTCTCTGTGTATTTTTTGGTTTCTGATTTTTGAAACATTTTTTTTACCTAGGATTAATATGAAATAATAGAATTTGGTAGCTCTAAATCTTTATTTTAGAGTCAATATGATATATACTGTTTGATGAAGTTGTTAAGAATTTGAGGAATAGATGCGCCAAAGCAGAGCGGCCACAATCTTTGGCTTTGGAGATTGAATGGAAATCCTCCATGGTAATATGAGTTGGTCCTGGAGATTGAATGAAAATCCTACAAAGATTTTGAGTTGTTTGGTACTATGTTTTTGGGTTTTTTTTTCCTCCCCGGTTATGTTAATATTGGGTCGATCATAATGAAGTTTCCTGTTACTCCTGAGCTTGAATTATTGAAGTGTTTTTGCTAACTATCATTGGCATGTATACATTTGATGATTACTTAGATGATGATTGAGAATGATTGGGTTGGGACCCGAAAATTACTAAAAAAATCAGTACTACATAATTTCTTTGACATGTTTGTTGTTCCATAATCAGTTTGAGGTTAGCTGCATAATTATGGTTTCCAGTTTGGAGTAGAAAACCCCAAACTCCGAAACAACGACGTTTTGGGGCTTTATGGTTCCCCCTCTAATCCTCGCTGCTTCCTAATCCCCCAATTTCGGACCTCCGATGCCCTTAATAGAGTCGGCACGTAATCAGAAACTTCCATGGTAAGCTTCAAGGATGAAAGAATAGATGCCTAAACATCTAAAAATATCACAATCAAAAACTTCCCTTGATGGCTTGATCAGAAACATCTTTCAGGCTCCGGTGACATGGATGAAGCTTCAAGGCGGGTTCGAGTGCAGTTTGTGACGAAGCTGAAACCTCCATATAAAGCACCACCAACCTCTATTACCATTCCTTCCAACCTCACCTGCTTGGGTCTCTCCACTATTGTCAGTAGTTTCCTTAAAGCTGGTAATTATTCTAGAATGTTTTGTCATCTAATTATTATAAACAGTTTACAGCTGTTGTGGGTTTTGATTGTTCCTTTTGGAACTATTCTATTGTTTTAGGTTGTTTCATTATTTTGGTATTTGCGAATGAAAGTAGTAGTTTTTGGAAAATTTTGTTATCCAAGTTGCCAAATTAATTTTGCAGTATATATGTTAATAAAACTTTGGCTAATTATTCTATGATAAATGATGGTTGGAAGACCAAAGTTTTTTATTTTCATATTCATGGGAAGCTTGTACAGATGTCCTTGAAGAATTTCTAAATGCCAAAAGTATCTCAGCTGTAAGTAATGATTTTTGAAAGCTTCGCTACTTCACTAATGTTATTTGTGATAAAATCTGGTAATTCTGGCTCTTTTTATGGCACTTATGCAACCTTTCAGAGAGTCCAATTTTCTTTGTCGAGGTTGTTGGTACATCCCTTTAAAAACAACTTCTGAATCTATAAGCTATCAAGGATTTCTGCAATATACACCTACCATTTTTGCCATTTTGTGTTATTGTTCTCTGGTTTATAACTATAGAAGTTTTGGCACAAACTCTTGAGATTGAATACATCAAGGCCATGGTCCCAAGGACGGTAGAGGAGCCTTCTCTACATGATGATTGGGTTAATGCAATTGATGGTTCAAGTTCCAAGTATGCCTCTTCTCTTCTTGAGTTCTGTATGCTATTCATAGAAATATTGTGCTATAACATTCTTAGTCTTGGATTGCTATTTTTCGAAGTTAGGTATATTGCACAGTTGATTATGTGGTCACTTTGTTGCATTGCAATTGAACCTCCTAGCTTGTGCTAACAAAAAGAAATTTTTCCTTTTGATTGCGTGAAAGATCTTCGTGATGATAGAGGATACATGGCTGATCATATGGGTTGTAACGTTATCACGGCTACTCAGGTACCTCTTTTCTTCACTTGTAATCCTAGGTTACTACTTATCACATTGGTCATGGAAAAGAACACAATTTCTGGCGAGAAGGAATTTTTCTGACTTGGGGCAGTAGCATACATTGAGTGCAGCTCAAAATTTGGGGAAACAAATTGGGGTAGTAGCGTACATTGAGTGCAGCTCAAAAGCACAGCAGGTTTGTTGATATTATCCCATTTTCCTATGCCTGAGATGAATATTTTTCCGAGTTGGATATTATAGGCTGATCCTTATAGCCATTGGTAAATTTATTTTGATAAATTGCTAGACTCAGTCTCATTCTCATGACTGACCTTGTAAAATTGTTACTTGTTTAGAATGTGAAAGCTGTGTTTGACACTGCCATCAAAGTTGTTTTCCAACCTCCATGGAGGAAAGAAGTTGCTAGAAAGAGAAGGCACAGAACCTTTAGCTGCTTCATTGTGTAAGTTGCTGCATTTCAATTTGATCATGCACATTCTCTGCCTTTCTTATTGAAAAAGTTCAAAATGTGAAAACTGTGTTTGAACTTCTGATATGAAAGATTTTGCAGAGACTATAATCATTTTATTTATTTTTGGCCAATCCTGGAAAAAACTTTTTAACGGTTCTGTAATCATCTTCTTCTCTCTGAAACAGGCGGGGAATGGTTTGCGGAGGATGTGCTGCTTAATCAAGCCTAACAAGTTGATCACTTATCAGTGACATCAAGAATGAATTTTTTATCAATTGTATAACAACCTTTGACCTATATATAACATTACTACTTACTAGTAGTAGACTTGTAAGTGTTTTGGTGGGAGGGGAGAGTTTTTTTGGGAGCTCAATGAAATGCGGGCGTAGACCAGATTGATGGCACAAAAACACAAACTAATATTGTCTCCTGTGCTTGTTTTTTTCTATTAGGCAAAGATCTTCATAATAATAACCTATTGACCTTTAAAATAATCTATTCAAAGTGTTTCCAAACGTTGCAATAAATCATAATCTATCTAGTGTAGCTGATTATACAGTTCAGGATTGTTACTACTGCTCCATAGCTCACCATAAACAGCACCGTAGTTATTTACTCACCAAAGAGTAATAAAAACGTATAAGGATAAGGATAATAAAAATCATAAACAATACAGTAGTGAGTTTTCTCACCAAAGGGTAATAAAAACATAGAAGGATAAGGATAATAAAAACCATAAACAAGAGATATTATTAATTAACAATAACACTGGAAAAAGCATATTCATTGATATTAAAATCGCACTTTGCCTCTATTGACTGGGAAAAAAATCAGAAGTTCTACGAAAATTTTGCATATCAAATACTATTAAAATTTTCAATTATAAATTAGAGTTCTTGAGATTTATACTATTTTAGAATTTAGTTTTTGTTGTGATTCCTATGTAAAAGAATGTGTTATTAGTTTGAATTTAATAATTTAAAAAAAAATACTTTTCGTCTCGAATAAGGCTTATGCCAAAATTTTTACTATGCAAAATCTGAATTTAATTTTTGTGAACAAGAATAAAATAAAATACTTCGATTACATTTAATATTCCCCGAGTACACATTACTAGGTCTAACAGAGAAATATGTTTTTTTAAATATTCTTGATTACGATTTATATTATGCAAGTATTAGTAAATATTGGTCGCGCGACACCAAAAAACTAGTTATTTTATTATGCCACTAGGAGAAAGAACCTTTCTTTTTTGGTTTATAAATTTTGAAGGTGCAAACATATATAACAGAGAGCTAAATTTTGTTTCTTTGTTGGATTTACAATTATTACCAAAAAAAAGATTAAAAATATGTTTCTTTATTATTACTGGATTTTCAATAACTAAATTTGCATGCCCCCCTTAAAAAATATTAGCATGGCCCAAGGTATTTAAAGAAGCTGAAACTTAAAGAGAGGTTATTTTTGGCCAACGCGACGCTTACAGCCCAACATTCTTTTAATTTTATGGAACACAGTCAATAGAGTGAAATAGGACGAGGCTGTCTTCTTCATTCATTCCCCGCCTTTTTCTGAAGGGTCAAAATCTATGGCGAAACCATCACCGGATACCTACCAAGGTAAAATCCGACCGTCTGGGGGTTGACTGACCCTCCTGGCCCCCTTGGTTTCGCCCGTGAATAATTGTTATACTATGAACACTCTAAATAAAAGTATCTAGATGTTTTTTACTGACGATAGAAATCAACAACATAATTGATTGATGGAAAAATATAAATATACTTTTAATAAAACTAAAATGTCTTGGACTAAAACAATAGAAGGTAGCGCGGCCGCATAATAAACTGGCTAGTTTGCCAATTTTAAAAGACCGGTGAAAATAAGAAAAAAAGAAAAGGAAAAATAAATAAATAAAGAAATTAGAAATACTCACAGACCAAGAAAACTTGCTTGTCCTTCTCACTTGAGGCATTAGTCAACCTTTTCTACGTGCAAAAAATTAGTACTAAGTAAAGGGAAGAAATTTGGGGAAGGGTTACGCTAGAAAGATACTATCTCCGTTCCACAAAATAGTCCACATTGAGTTTTCAAATTTGTACTAAAAATACTACAAAACTCAAAACTTAATGTAGACTATTTTTTAGGGACGGAAGTAGTATATAATAAAATAAAAGGAATAGAGGAAAAGAGAGAGATAGGAGCTAAGGAAGAAGATCTATGTCTAGTCTAAAACAGCTCTTTAATGATCTATGAAGTCTAAGGGAGCTGGGAAAGTCAGAAAATTACCACGGTTAAATGTGATGTATCGGACTTTTTTTTTTTTGGTAACGTCAGGAACCCCATCAGAGATGGTTAAATCCATACCCAGTGCAATAGCCTGCAAACCACAATAGGAGGTAAACCACTCTAGGTATGCTCGGGTGACAAGTTCGGATGCGAATTTCGGGACTTCATTACTGGGTTAGTCATAACATGTCCGTAGAGCTGCCAATGTTGAAAATTTTAGTTTGTACAATAAAATAATTAATTTAGAATTTAAGGATAATAATTAATTTGGCAATCCTTCACTTGTATGGTGGTTATTTCCTATAAGCCAAGGATTGTGTGCTAAGTTTGTTTACTTTGTTTCTGCAAGTGTTGCCTATAAATAAGTGAACTAGCGCAGGATTTCATTCTAACTTTTGCAATCCTAAATTCTTGAGAACATTCAATAATTGCAAGTTACATGTACTTGTGTTCTTTATGTCTTAGAGGCAAATGGCCAAACAAACCCGATATTGCAACATGGAGGAGACAAATATTGTCTTAAAAATAATGTCTAACACGATTAGATCACATCCAATTCTTGTGATTTCTCCATTATTGTTATTTCAAGAATCTATCAATAAAGTTCATTATTCTTCATCTTTTCTTATTGATGTCTTTTGTTGTCTCTTTGGTTACTACTAAGGTTGTTCACGGATCGGTTCAAACCGGTCAATCCGGTCCGCAGATTGATTTCATGGGCGGTTTTGAACTGAATTTCTAAACCACCAGTTTTCAAAAATAAAAACTATTGAAATCGGTCCGGATTACGGTTTGATACAATGAAACCAGACATTAATCCGGCCCGGACCGTACATATTTAAATAATAAAAATCGTATTAATTTTCTACTTTACTTTCACCTCCACTAAAACAGTACCCCTTTTTAGTTTTTACCTCCCAAAACCTATCCTATAAATGACTTCTTTTCCTCTCTCCATTCCCAAATGACAAACAGCCGCCGCGCTCCCGATTTTTCCAGAATCTCCACCCTCCATTGCCAGCTCCACCCCCGATTTATAAAAATTGCCATTGATGATGTACGAAAAATCACCGAAGAAAACCATTTCATGACATATATTCTGAGCTTTTACAAATATGATGTAATGATGTACTGAAGGATTTTTTTCTTTTTTTGTTTGCTTTTTTTTTTCTTTTTATATAATCTAATGATAATATTTAGGCCCAAGCTAGAAAAGAAAAAGTCCAATTGTTAGTTTAAATCAAGAGAAAAGCCTAATACATATGGCCCAAAAATTTGAAAGCCCAATAGATGACCTAAACCGTCAAACCGCCCAAACCAAGCCGTTCAGTATGGTTTGGTTTGGTCCGGATTTAAATGTCAGGCTGTCCAGTACGGTTCCGAAATCTCCTAAACCGTGGTCTCAAATTAGACAAAAACCGGTCCAAGCCGGACCGTGAACACTTAAAGTTACTACTACCCCCATATACTTTCAATTTAAGATAATTTTAAAGTATATAGATTTGTGTTTTAATATTGTATTAACCAAATCTAGTGTTGTGAAACTATGTGGATTAATTTGTATTTAAGATCTTATAATAATTATTTATTAGAGATCTTAAAGTCAATTTTGTTGACAAAAACAAAACATGCAACGAATGGGTTTTCATCAATTTCTTAGTTTTAAGAAATGTGAAAGACATGTTATAATTGTGTTGGAATTGGCGTTTATGTGAAGAGTTATGAATGTTTATTATTCAAACTAGTAATGTCAATTGTGTTAAAATAATCTATAGTTATAACAACTATAATTTGATTGCATGTAAAAACATATTATGTTAGTGCCCGTCGATCTTATCGTCGGTCATTTTGAGTCGACAGAAAGGTTGATGCCTATTAAAATGTGTTATATTTTTATGTTTAGATATGTTGACTTTGTTGTCCATCTTTGTAAAGTGGACGGAAAAGTCGACGTGCCATTAGAATGACTCGTTATTTTGTTTGTCGACACTGTTGTCGATTTTGTAAGGATGACAGGAAAGTCAACTTCAATAGAATAGTTTGCCATTATGTTTTGTCGACTTTGTCGTCGATCTAAGAGAGGCGAGAGAAAAGTTGACGATAGAAGAATATAACCAAATTCCAATAATTTTTTGGACAATTTTGGTTCTGAAAATTTGATGTTATGTATAAAATTAAATGTTTTATGCATGTGAAAGTTTCTCATGGTAATGCAAAAAGTATGGTTATGGTGAAACGAAATCAACAATTTTTATGAAAAGTTGTGATTTCTTGATCTTTGGATGAATAGAGACATGTTAAGTGTTTTATCTTGTGAGTTCAATTGAAATGATACAAATTAAAATTGTATCTAATGATTCTAAGTGAGAAAACACAAATGAAAGCAGGTGTCTACTAGTTCCAAGTGAAAGACATATTTGAAAGAATATGTTAATTGGTTCAAAGTAAAAATAAACGAGTGAAAATCATGTTTAGTCATTCAAATGACATATTCAGGTTGTGACCTTAGTTGATAGCCAAGTATTACTTTTGCAGTGAAACTTTTTGAATTCGTAGTGCTTATTTTTGCATTGTTATGTTCAATATCAATGCATTTGATACGGTGTTATGTTTGGACATTTTTATTATTTTTGGCTGCTAAGATACCATATGATATAAATTAATTAGTGTCAAATATCTTAATAACAAAAATGTGAAACATATGCATAA